ATTTGAGAAGAAATCTGACCAAATGAATACATTTTCTAACCAGAAGAAACGTTAAGCTTGCATTATTTCTATCCAAATGGAAAGGACTCGGGTTGGGCTGTGCCCTTCAGTGGGCCCTGTCAGAAATACAAGCACACAACCATCCCCATCTGGGTTAGCCCACCTGCCCTGAGGGTACCCAGCCCTGGCCTGGCACTCCTAGGGAATCTGTTTCTTTTTTTTTTTTAAGCCAGAGGAGGACTTAGAGACAGGGCAGTGTCTCCTTTGTGAGATGTCCTCTGGCTTTTACAAAGCATGGAAGTTGTATCACGTCAGCGAGGCCACAGGGCCCAGCCAGTTACACAACCTTGGATGGTACATAACAGGAGCAAAAATAGTCACCTGCTCCTCAGAGTTCACTGTGTGCCCGGGACCTGCCAAGTGCTCTGCGTGCATTATCCCGCTTAATCCTCCAAACAAGCCTTGTGGTCAGCCATGTAGTCATCAACTTTAAGAAATTAGGAAGTGAAGGCGCAGGTGGGTACGCAGCTGATTTGTTCATTCAGAGAGTGCTACGCAGTAGGAAGTGGGTTTGAGATTTGAGCCTTTGTGCTCTGAACGCCATGCTTCACTGTGCCCCATTGCAAGCCTTCCACAGATGGGGAAATGGAGTCCCTCAGAGTGTCACTTGACTTCCTTCAAGATACTTAGCCAGGCTGTGGTGGAGTTGCCGTGGGGATCCAGGTCTCTGAGTTCCCAGAAGGATGCCTTTTCCGCCATAGGAGGCCTCATCTGAGAAAGAGAAGGTGTAATCTTTGTCAGCAGTAGCCCCATCTGCCTCCTAGTTCTGTACCCTTGAAGGCAGCATGGTGAAGGGAATTAGCTGAGCAGTTCTTGCCGCACTAACCCCCACCTTGCAAGGTCTCTCTTTCCCTGCTTTCTGACTCTGATGACTTCATTTCCTAAAGAGAAATGATGGTTTAAGGGGGCTCCCAGGAAAGGGGGATCCAAGCAGGCTCAAGAAACCTTCCTAACCCAGGGCTGTTGGGGGTGTTGCAGAGAGGGCCTCAGGCCTACAGCGGAGGTGGGGAATATGGTGGCAGGTAGGGCTACAAAGACTAAGGGTAGGAGTACAGCTTGCCAAATGGGGAGTCTCTGTAGGCACAGGTCTTCTCTCTGGGCCTCAATACCCTCTTTGTTCAGCAGAGCTGTTGGGGAAGTAGTTTCTAAGCCCATCTCCCTGTTTTAGGTCGGGTTTCCTAGAAGCAAGCCCTGTGATGAGGAGCCTTGTGAGACTGATTTATTGAGGAAATGCCTGCAGGAGAACTGGAGAGGGAGTTGGAGCAGCCGGGCAAGGAAAGGGAAGAAACTAAGCAGAGTGTGATCCTGACCAGGGGCAGCTCCAGCCAGATCCCACAGGGTAGCCCTGGCCTGAAAATGATGCCCAGAGTTTGTTTCAGCTTAGGGCAAGGCAGCTGGGCTTTCCCCATTAGTGTTAACTAAGGGTCACCTAAGATGGGGTAAGGTAGGAGGGGGGAGATGTAAACTCTCAGGTGTTTATTGTACTGTACACATGGGGGAAAGTTCTTCAGCAGCCCCAGTCAAGCCAGGAGAGTTGCAGGTGGTTTGAGGAAAAGTTGACAGAAGCGCGGAATGGGGTCCACAGCAATGATCAAAGGTAATCTGGTGGAGCACTGGCAATGTCCCCTGCACACCCTCAGGATTCATCCAAATATTTCAGGAGTTTCCCAACAGCACTGCCTCAATGGGAGAAGGGGTGAGGGCACCAATAGATGGGGAGTCTGAAGCCTATGGGAGATTTGGAGCAAGAATGGAGGAGACACCATCAGGGGAACCCCAAAGAACCAGACGTTATGGTTTGGGAGGGCTACAGAGGCTTAACTCTCCTCCACCCTCTCAATTCCTGCCACAGAGCCATGCACGCTCAGATACAAGGGGTGCAGGAACACCCTTATGTGAATATGCATGCACACAGGTGTGCACACACAGACTCATGCACAAGCATGTACATACTTTCACACAAGCCCATATACATATTCAGATACTCCTGCAGAAACATAGCCGTACACATGCATGCTTACTTGCACACACATGTTCCTGGGCTCACGCCAGAAGCAGTGGAAAAGTCGGGGGAAGGGCAGGCAGGGTCCAGGGCCAGGCCAGTTACAGCTGACTACTGAGGATTGACCTTTGGCTGGAATGGCCCACCTCATGCCAGTTCCAGAGCTCAGGCTCGTGTCTGTCTGGGATTGCTTGTGGAGGACTGATAACGGTGTATGGAAGCTCAGCTGCTACTGCCTCCACCCCTCCATGTCCCCGAAGTTTCCATTCCCACCTTTGACCAGGCCTTAGTCCATCAGTAGGCCAGGGGCCCCCTATCTTCATTGCACAGATGAAGATCTGCAATCCAGGGAAGGAAATGAACTGGGGCTCCTGACAGGTAGTCCCATCCCTGGCCTCTGATAGTTTTGACCTTTCTTCTTTCCAAATGACAGGAACCAGCAGGAGTATTGTCATTGGGAAGCAAGGGACATCAGTGCAGAATCAAACTGACTCCACCTCTGAGGGGCTCCCAGTCTGGTTGAGGTCACAGGCATTTAAAATGTGTGATCAGGGCTGGCCGAGTGGCGCATTGGTTAAGAGTTGGCTTGGGACGCCAGCTCTGAGCAGCAGGGCCCTGGTTCGGATCCCACATGTGGGCCAGTGATGCTGCGCCCTCTACAGCTAAGATGGNAGGCTACAGGTCGCTCTTTCCCATGGAAACTCTTCCTTCCTGGCACAGGAGAGGTAGCCCTGGCTTGGGAAAAGGAGAGGGAGGAAGGGAATTCAGAATCTCGAGCTCAGAGGTCCAGGGTGGAGATGAGGGACTCGACCCATGACACACCCAAGGCTCCTTTCAGGACCCAGCAAGCCCTGCTTGTCTTTGATGATAAGACCCTGGGAGGACACACTGCAGAGGAAGCCGATGTAGCGGATGAAGAGAACCACCCCCCACCCGAGCCCCTTAGGTTATATCAGCACTGCCCACTCACTCTGCCTTTCAACATCTATCACCCCCCCTGAGCATGAAAGCCTCTGCCAGTCAACTTCCTGCTTTCTGCCCAGTCGCTGCCCTGCTGCCCTGCCCTGCCTCGTCCCACCTTTTGCCCTTTGCCCAGAAGGCCCTGTTCGTTGGGGTGCTAGGGACTCCTGCACCCCAGTTGCTGCCCAGCCTTTGCTAGTCTTTGCTGAGTCCCAGGACTCTCAGAATGTAGCAGGCAGGAGCCCTGACTTCGCAGCTGAGTGCCCATGACTCAGGTGCGTTATTTAACCTCTGTGAACCTGTTTCCTCCACTCCCTCCCCATTTACCAGCTGGGGACCTAACTCACAGAGGGACAGGAAGAGGTGGAGCTCCCCGATGGAGTAGAAGAAGTCATGCAGGTGTGAAGGTCAGAGCAGCAGGGCTCTGGGCTATCAGAGTCTTCCCCAGATCTGAATCCATGCCCTAGTCTCCCCACAGTCCCCACTGACTCAGTAAAATAATTCTAGTTACGAGTTTACTGAGAACCTACAAGGTGCTTTAGCTGCTGTCTCATTGAATCCACACAACCCAGTGATGTAAGTGGCATCATCTCTACTTTACATATGGGAAAACTGAGGCTCAGAGAAGACTGTGTAATTCACCCAAGGTCACACAGCTGGTATGTGGCAGAACTGGTATTAGAACCTAGTCTGTCTAGCTGGAGGCCACATTCCATACCTTTTGTTCTCTCCTGTTTCCAGAGGAGGGCTAACTGTTCCTGCCTGGCACCTACACAAGCCAAGGCCTGAGCAGGGACGGAGGGCTATGGCCAGAGCTGTGACCTGGTGTCAGAAAATGCTGCCGTGCAGGACACCTCCCTGACCCTCCCACCCATACCTAGGATTATCTCTTAGTTTCTCCACAGCCGTGCAGGCATCACTAGGGACTTTGTGCCCCACCAGCCCAGCCACCTTCTAGCACTGAGGTCTCTTAATTTAAGTCAGAGGGACTCAGGTGAGCAGCTGCCCACCGAAGACAGAACTCTAGCTTCCACAGCCCTCGAACGGGGCGCTCACTTTTTTGTGATGGCTCCTTTCCTTGAGGGAAGGCTGCGACTGTGAGAAGGTCTTCCTTCACAAGGAGCTGGGGCCTGTCTCCTGTGACCCTCCCAGGACCCCTACCTGCTTTCCCCATCCTATTCCATCTGGCCAATAAACCATCCCTGCCCAGCTACTTACATCAAGGATTTAGTCTGCCTGGAGCTCAGTAAAGGAACTGAAGGGTCTATTGACTCAAATCCAGGGGTCTGCTTCACTCAGGACCTATCTTTGGGTCCAAGGTCAATTGTCCACAATAACCATAGGTGCCCTGAGTCACAGAGTCAGAGATTCAAAGGTACTCAGAGCTGGAGGGATTAGTCTGCTTACTGGATACATGGGGAAACTGAGGTTCAGAACGGGGCAAGGCCTTGCCCAAGGACACATAGCATACCAGAGTTAGGGGCAGGAGAGAACCTGAGAACCAGTTCAGGGCTCTCTCTCTCTCTCTCCTGCCCTTTTACCCATAGTTAATGCACAAACTTTAAAACCAGTAAAAGAACTTATTGTGTGACCTTGGTCATACCTTTGTCCCTCTCTGGCTGTCAGTCTCCTCATCTGATGAAATGAGAGCTAGATGGTCTCTTAGGACCTTGAGTTTCTCTTCACCCCCAAACCTGAGGCACTGAGGGGTTTACACCTGTAAGATACATGTGTGTACCACACTATGTGTCCCACAGAGCTCCTTTAAATCCTGTACAGTCGTCAATCCCCACATCCCTGAAGACGGGAAACCATGGCCGGAGCGGAACTGGATTCTTCCCCGTGCCACATCGTGGTGGTAGCCCTGTCTTCTGCCTGCCTGTCCAGTTCTTCTCACTGCACATAGGGCTGCACTTTCCCCATGGAGACGTGGGGCACTATGGCCCTAGGCCACGCCCCAGCCAGCCTCGATACCCACCGAGACAGGGAAATAGTCCTTCATGTACTTCCATACGACACAGCGTCTTAATGCCTGGATGGGCCTGCCCCCCTGCCGTGGTGTTTCTCGGTCCAGGTACCACCAGGTCGCATACAGGACACTGAAGAACCAGAATCTTGTGAACAGGAGGCCTATGAAGACCGCAATGCAGACCTGGGCTGGGGAGGGAAGCAGGCGCTATCAGAGGTCAGAGGTGCGAGAGGACGGAGGTGAGGCTGCCCACACTGAATCCCCCCATAAGCCCAGCGCTAGCAGCACTGTCCTATCCATCGCTCAGCCCTAGGAAGAAGAGATCGGTTTCCCGAGCCTTCAAGGAACAGGAAATACAGCCAGCCCAGTGGCATACTGGGGCATGGATTTGAACGTAGGTAGACCTAACTCCAAAACTCTTTTCCCACGGCACCCAGCAGCCTTATTCACTCCCTCTGGTCTTCCCCTTACACCTCCCTCTCTCCAGTAAGGTACGGTTGACCCTTGAACAGCATGATTTTGAACTAAACTGGTCCATTTATACATGGATTTTTTTTCAATAAATATGTAGAGCACTATAAATGTATTTTCTCTTTCTTATGATTTTCTTAATAACATTTTCTTTTCTCTAGCTTGCTTTATTGTAAAAATACAGTAGATAACACACATAAGACACAAAATATGTGTTAATTGATTGTTTATGTCACCGGGAGGGCTTCTGATCAACAGTAAGCTGTCAGCAGTTAAGTTTTGAGAGAGTCAAAAATCATAATGAATCTTCGACTTCACGGGGCAGGTTGGAGGGGGGTCAGTGCCCCTAACCCCCACATCGTTCAAGGGTCAACTGTAGTCTGCATTCATCAGGTACTCAATACATGACTGGTGGACAACTTGTGCATTAACTGTTTCTCCTTTCCATATTTTGGGACCTCAGAGATACAGGAGATACTCTTTCTGCCCAACCCTCAGTCTGCCCACCCTCTGTCCCATCTTTCTGCCAGGTCCCCCGCCCTCCTCCTGCTAATGAAAGACCTTTCATGGCTGTTCTATAATTTCAAGGCACAGCCGAGCAGATCAGCCTGGCAGCCAAGCTCCGGGTGGTCTCGCCTCGCCAACATGGACACCCGCTGCTCTGGCCACAACACTAAACTGTCCAGCGTTCCTACAGCTCCCTGAGCTCTTTAAATCTCTTAGCTTTTCCTCGTGCTCTTCTCTCTGCTTGCAATGCTCTTTCCTGGTGAAGGAAGGAGGTACCCACTTCCCTTCAACACTGTACCAGAGGCCCTGGCCAGTGCCACGTGACAAGAAAAACAAACGGAATGGAAAGGAAGGAGCGAACTGTCTCTACTCACCAACACATGATTTAATGCATAGATTATCCTAAGGGATGTATAAAGAAGCTACCGGAAGTTACGTGAATCCTGCAAGGTCGTAGGACCTTGGAGAAGGACATTTACACATATATGGCTGCACGTGCATTGAGATGGAAGGACACCAGGAGATCTGGAGGAAGGAGACTGGACGCCAGGGGACAAGGGTGGCAGGGAGATTGATTTACATTTTTTAAATTTATTTTCACAATTAAAAAATTTAATGTGATAAAAATAATAATAAAGAACCCCAGCTAGGGCTCTCTCCCCTTGGGCAAATTAAAAGTCTGTGTTGACGACTCCCACTTTAAGAAAACCGGTTCTAGGGAATTCAAACAAATTGTCAATAGCGGCTACCTGGAGGGTCAGGTTTGGGGAAGTATTTTACTTTTAGAATACGTATTTTGTTTGACTGTTTTACAAGAGAATGTATTAGTTTTGCAGTCAGAAAAAAAAGGTTGGGAAAAAAACACACACAAAGAGCACTTGTACTTGACCAGAAAGGCCTCTCCCTAGCCCACCAGCCACCTCACCCTGGGCTCACCCTTCAATTCCTATTAGCAGGCAAAACCCAGCTTGTAGGTCACTTAAGAAGGGAGATACTTTTCTCTCACTCAATTCTCACAACTCTGAAAGGGAAAAATTTTAAACCGCACTTTACAAAGGTCCAGAGAAGGTATGCAAATTGGCTAAGGTCACATAGCAAGATGTGACCTGGGATTCAGTTCTATTATTTTGGCTACATCGTGCTCTCATTTATTCATTCAACAAACATTTGTCAACGCCAACTCTTCTAGGAGCTGGAGATGCAGCTGAGAACAAGACAAACTGTTTGAATGGAGCTTACTTTCCTGTGTGAGTGTGTGAGTTATAGAGGAGAGGGAAGCAAACAGGAAACAAGTAATCCATTGAGAAAGTATTTGGCCCTGGACCCTGAGTCCTGGGTGACAAGTCCTAGCTGATTTCTCCAGCCACGTCTTTGCCACTCCCCAAAGTGCCTCCTCTAACTCTGATGTGAACCAACTGTTCAATAAATGTGCAGAGTCTTTTCTCCTCCACTAGAAGCCCTTACTCTCCAGCCAGGCTTTAAATCCTGCCCTGTGGACCCCATCTCCTAAATATCTTTTGAAAGGGGCCACTTCTCTTTATGCGCTGCCGGCTTCCCTAGACCAGGGTTGGCAATCTTTTACTTAAAGGGCCAGGTTATAAATATTTTAGACTTTGCAGCTCAAGAGGCAACTTGGAGGATATTACATAGGCATGTAACCATTTAAAATGTAAAACCATTCTTACCTCATGGACTGGGCAAATACAAAAACAATCAGTGGGCTGGATTTGGCCCATAGGCCACAATTTGGTAACCCCTGATCTAGACTGTGACTGCTCCCAGCCATAGCTCTATTCCCCCACACCCCAAACACACCTTGGCTACAGCTACAGGGACCTTTAACACACAGACTGAACCTTGTCACTCCTCTACCTCCTGGGGCGCTCCTTTGCTCCCAGGATAAGGGATAAGGTGAAAACCTCCTACTCCTGGCACCCGTAAGGCCAGATCTCTTTTTTCTGCTGCCCTCCCTCTAGTCTTCCAAGCCCAGGATGACTTTGACTTCTGTGCTGCTCCTGACATTCCCCGGCTCCTGTGCCACAGGTCTGCAGGACTGGAGTGGGCATGGCCAGTCAGACACACTTCTGCTCTGAAGTGAGGTTCTTCATTCCCTGTGAGCCACAGGCCACAGCCTAACCGGCTCTCGGCCCCCAGGGCCCTTTGTCCAGGAGCCAGCATTTGCAGCCTGCACTGGGCATAGACCTCCCTTCCCATGCTTCCTTTGCAGACTCCTAGCCCACACCTCCTGCTATGCCCTCTGCCCTCTGCCCTCTGCCCCCTCTCCTCCCTCTGCCTCTTCTCCTCTCTTCCTTTTGGCAGTAGAAGGAGCTCAGGACTCCAGATCTACAATCTTGGGCATTTAAGGCACTTAGGTTCTCTGCTCATCGGTGTAATGGGGATAACCAGGGATATTCTAAATGTTTAACAACCCTTAAGATGGAGACACAGATCAACATAAGGGATGTTAGGGGCAAGGTGCTGAACAGCCTGCTTTGCTGGCAGTGAAAACTTTAGCTGAAAAATTTGGGGGGAGGTTCTGAGAAAGCACCTGCTATGGGTGTGTGTGTGTGTGTGTGTGTGTGTGTGTGTGTGTGTGTGTGATCGCTGTTGATCAGCCTGTACTGACTATGCCCATATTTTACCACCAGGATAGTGGCATCTGTGTACAGACTGAATACCAGCCCTGGGGGCAGCAATTTCTACCTGGTCTGGACAGCAGATGAAAGGAGGAATTCACATACTCCCAGTCACTCCCTCTTCCCAACCCTCAGTCCTGGGCTCTCCTCAAAAATGTTCCCTTCAGCAAAGTTGGAGTTGAGGCAAGTGTGGCCTTCCCAGCTACAATCGATGTGTTTACTCTGGAGTGGGGGGGGGGGTTAAGGGAGCCCTCCTATGTGATCCCAGCTCAGGGACCAGGACAGGGCAGAGTAAGCCCATCTTCTTCATTTCATCCCACAGCAGCCCTGTGAGGAAGGTATTGTTATTACCATTCTGCAGATGATGAAATACAGACCTGGACAGGTCAGACATGGGTCCACCAAGGTCACACAGCTGGTCAGTCGCCCAGCTGGAGTCTAACCCAGGTTTGCCTGGTACCCTGCTCACTTCTACTTTCAGCATGCACCTTCTCTCCCCATCCTGTTCTTTCCCTGTTCCCTACCCCCTCAGTTTTCTCCTCTCTGAAAGGAAGAAAGGGGGTCCATCCATCCATCCCTTCTGAACAGCCTGAGGAGCCCAGAACTTGCCCACAACTGCCTAGATCCTTCCCCACCCCGCAGGAAGCCTAAGGCAGGGGTTCTGTCCTAGTACTAGGGTAGAACACATGACCCAGGAAAGCTAGGTCACCTGCCCATAGGCAAATGTGGTGACTTCTAGCCCACCCTCCCCCCACACCAACCACACCCTCCACAGATCTCTGGCCAGGGGCTCTGAGCACAACAAAGCCCCCTTTAGGACCGATGTCTTTCAACCATCAATGCATTGTGTGCACCTCGAGTAGCAGGCGCCCATGGTCTTCCCATACCCCAGGCCAGCCCGCCTTACCCAGGGCCAAGAAGGAGAAGACCCACTGCAGGACCATGAGGGTCTGCAGCCTGCGCTCCCATGGCAGGGACAATGGCGCGAACTCCACCATGCTGGTTCTTCTGCTGGCTCCGGAGGCTTCTCTGAGCACTGCTGTGGTCAGAGGTATCCGCTGGCTTTTGCTGCTGATAGAGGTTGTGTAAGCATTTGTGGGTGGAGGAACAGGGTGCCCTGCCCAGCCCAGTCCCAAGGCCTCCCTGCCTCCACCCTAGCAGGGACCTGTTTCCTAGGAGAAACCTTTGAATCCACTTGCCCTGGGTCCACCTAAAGGAAGGAGGAAGAGAAGGAAGTATGTAGCTCTTATCCAGGACTGTGGCTTTCTCAGGCAATGCCTTATCTGGAGGATTCCCTTTCTCTGATCAGATCTTGCCCTTCGCTCAGCAGCAGGTGAAGCCCCACGTACAACACAACCGTGTCTTCTTCCCACCTACCCAATGACTTGGCTCTGATAATTGTCTCCTCTCTTTCCTGCCGTGTCCATTGCTCCCCCTCCACAAATATGCAGTAATAGCTCCCTTGACCCCACCAGCTCCTCCACCTTTTGCCCCATTTCACAGCCAAACTCTTAGAAGAGCTGTCTGCATTTCACACCTTCGCCTCTCATTCTATCCTCCAAGACGCCATACCTCAGATGCCACTATTCCACCGAACTGCCCTTGACAAGTTCACCAATGGCCTCCATGGTGCTGAATCCTCTCAGATCTCATCTTGACCTATCAGCAACCTTAGACATGGCTGATCACTCCCTTCTCCTTGAAACCACTTGTGCTGTGGACAGCACACGCTCCTGCTTTCCTTCCTCCCTCTCTGGCTGCGCCTTGGTCTCCTTTATGGCTCTTACACTTTTCCAGACTAAGTGTTTGAGTGCCCTCCCGCCCTCCTAGTCCTTGCACCTTCTCTTGTCTCTCCACATTCACTCCCTTGGAGACCTCATCCAGGTTCTTGGCCCTGCCTTCTACTTATACAGTGAAGACTTCTAAATTTGCATCTCCAGCTCTGGCTTTTCCTTGGGGCCCCAGACTTGAATCTAGGTGACTGTTTCACATCTTCACTTGAAAGCTTGCTTGGCACCTCCATCATATCATGTCTAAAATTGAACTTGATTTCTATTTGCCTGCCCACGCTCGCCTTTTCTCTGCTCTTTGGCTTCTCAGGAAAGGGTAACTCCATTGACTTGGTTTCTCAAGCCAAAACCTTAGAGTCACACGATACTCTTTCTGTCCTTCTTCATGCACATCCATCAGTCGGTTCTCCTAAATCTCTCCTTTTAAATGTATACTTTGAATTGAACTATATCAAACATACAGCGAAATGCACAGATCCTAAGGGTACAAAGTAATGCATTTTCACAAAGTGAACAACACACTCGTATAACTACCACTGTCACCAACAAATAGAAGATGACCAGTACCCGTGTCCTTGTCAGTCACTCCTCTCCTCCTGTAGGTCACCACCACCCTCAGCTCTGCTTTTGAACTTCATAAAAAAGTGAATCTCATACTATGTACTCTGTTAGAACTGGCTTCTTTGGCTCAAGATTATATTTTTGAGTCACCCAAGTGGTGTGTATTTGCAGTACCTTTGTCCTCATTGCCATATGGATTTCACTGTGTGAAAGCGCCAAGATTTATCCATTTTACTGCTGAGAGGCATTTGGGTTGTTGCCTGTTTCTGGCTACTACGAGTTGTGCTGCTGTGGGGATTCTTTCTCCCCTCCCAGTTTTATTGAGAAACAATTGACAGACACCACTGAGTAAGTTTCAGATCTATATACAATCGCATGATGATTTGACTTACAGGTATTGTGAAATGATTACCATAACAGGTTTAGTTAACATCCACCATCTCATGGAGATACCATAAAAAGAAAAGAAAAGAAAAAATTCTCCTTGTGATGAGAACGCTTAGGATCTACTCTCTTAACAACTTTCCTGTACATCCTACAGCAACATGGGCAGTCTGTACCTGTCTGTTGGTGCACGTGTGTCTACATTTCTGTTGAGTGTGTGCTTGGGAATAGAACTGTTGAGTCTCCTGGCATAAAGCCGTATAGTTTTCCAAAATGGTTGTACAAATTTACACTGTCACTCTATGTGAGAATTCTGGTTGCTCCACATTTTAACTATTTTAGTGAGTGTGTAGAGGTACTTCACTGTGATTGTAGTATTTTCCTAATGCCCAGTGAGGGTGAGCGCATTTCAATGGATTTATTGGCCATTTGGATATCATTTTCTGTGAAACTCTTGTTCTAGTCTTTTGTTGATTTCAATATCTCTTGCATTGGAAAGCTGCTTTCTGCCCCCAACCCATCCTCTCTGATTCTACCACCAGCTATCTTACTGATCTCTCTGTCACTATGCCCATTCTCCTTCCCATAGTCTCAACACAGCTCGGGCAAAAGAGTATGAGAATGCTCAAGTTTGGAAGTAGTGCCAAACTGCTTTCCAAAACAGCAGCACCAATTTATACTCCCACCAGGGATATATGAGATCTCACAGATACATATCCTCTCTGACCCTTGGTATAATTAGGCTTCTTATTTTTTGCTAGGGTGTAAAGTGGTATCTTGTTGTGGTCTTGATTTGCATTTCCTGATCACTAATGTTGAATGTCTTTACTCATAGGCATTTCCTCTTCTGTGAAAAGCTTGTTCTTAATTTTTGCCCAATTCCCTATAGTGTTGTTTATACTGTGTGTCTGAATTTGAAGTTTCTTATGCATTCTCATGATACTAATCATTTGTTGGTTGCGGATATTGTGAATCTCTTCTCCCAGTTTTTAGCTTGTCCTTTAAGGTGTCACTGGATGTACAAATTTTTAATTTTAACCTATTTCTATGTATCAGTCTTTTACTAAATAGACATTGCTTGCTCTGACTTAGGAAATCTTTTCCTACTTATATTTTCTATTAAGAATTTAAAATTTTAAACAAAAAGCAAACTCATGGATACAGGCAATAAAATGGTGGTTACCAGAGGGAAAAGAGAGTGGGGGGAGGACCAAGGTGGTAAAGGGGGTCAAATATATGGTGATGGAAGGAAACCAGACTTCAGGTGGTGAGCACACAATTCAGTAGATGGATGTCATCCTATGATGTTGTACACCTGAAATGTATATAATGTTATTAACCAATATTACTCTAATAAATTTAATTTTAAAAATAATACATAGCAAAAAAAGAATTTAAAGTTTTGTTTTTCATATGTAAGCCCTTAATTCGTCTGGATTTTTATATGGTATGAGTTAGGTTCCAATTTTATCTTTTAACATATGAATATCATTTTTTTTTTGCAGGCCCATTTGTCGAACACTCCTCCTTTTCCCTGATGATATAATGTGTCAGCTCTGTCATACAACAGAGGTCTACACATGCAAGGTCTTCACTGGGGCTTTTATTCTTCCCCATTAGTCAATTTATCTATCTCTACCAGTTCCACACCATTTTAATTATTTATATCTAATACCTGGGAGGGTATGCCTCCCTTTGCTTTTCTCTCTTAGATATGTCCAGGCTATAATTAACCCTTTACTCTTCCATACACATTTTAGATTCATGTTAACAAATTCCAAAAAAAACCTCTCTTGGAATGTTGGAATTCATAAAATGTTGAATCCAAAGTTCATTTTGAGGAAAAGCAGGTGCAAATAAAAATGACAGTAAGAATAAATTAATTAAATCACCAGGTCATAATATCTAGCAGAAGAGCAACAAAGAAACCTAAAATAAAGCACAAGGAAGAAAATAATAGAGATAAGAGCAGGAATTGATTAGATTAGAGAATAGAACTAATTAATAAATTAAAATTTTGATTTTCTAAAACATCCTGATGAAATAAACTATTAGCTAATGTAACCAAGAATAAAAGGGACAAATCACACATACACAAAATAAGAACAGTGGAGAAATTATTGAAACACAAGAAATTTTAAAAATCAAAAGAAACTACACATGGTCCCCAACTTTTGATGATTCAACTTACGATTTTTCAACTTTACAGTGGTGCAGAAGTGATATATACATTAAATTACATAAACTGAAAAAAATTACATGAGCTATTCAACACTATTATAAAATAGGCTTTGTGTTAGGTGATGTTTCCCAACTGTAGGCTAATGTATGTGTCCTGAGCATATTTAAGGTAGGTTAAGCTAAGGCTTAGCTTAAGCTATGATATTCAGTAGGTTAGGTATATTAGATGCACTTGTGACTTATGAAATTGTCAACTTATGATGGGTTTATCAGGATGCAAACCCATCGTAAGTCGAGAAGCATCTATACTTTGCAAACTTCAATGCAAATAAATTTGCAGTCTTAGACAAAACTGATAGTTTCCCAGGGAAATGCAATTTACCAAACTAATTCAATTAAAGAGAGAAAACTTAGATTAATTTCCATAGAAGAAATAGAGACAATTATTAAGGAATTTTCCCACAGAAAAACACAGGGCATTTCACAGGAGAATTTTACCAAACCTATAAAGACTAGATAGCCCCAACACTCCCAAAATTATTTCAAAGTTTTAAAATGAAGGAAAACTTCCAATTTTTTTTTGTAGCATGTATAACATTAATATTTAAACTCAACTTTTTAGAAAGTGCAAAAATAAAAAACTATATACTTATTGAATTCCTTATTAATATTAATGCAAAATATTTAAATAAAATATTAGAAATATTATATTAGAAAACAATCCAACCTCACATTACCATATATCATGAACAGTTGGGATTAGAGAAAACATTAATATAATAATACATCAGATTCATAGATTTAAGATGAAAATCATGTAATTATCTCCACAGATACTGAAAAAGCCCTTTTCAAAACTCACCATAGAGTGAAATTGATGAGTGTTTTCTTAATATAATAAAATGTATATACTTTGTTTTATTTTTATTAGTTTCAGGTGTACAAAACAATGTAATAGTTAGACATTTACACCCCTCAAAATGATAACCTCCTCCCCCAACCTACTACCCTTCTGATATCTTATATAGCTGTTTCAATTCCATTGACTCTATTCCCTATGCTGTACTCCACATCCCATGATC